TAAAATTCAAATAACTCCACTCTCAACAAAAACTGCAAAGTAATTTTGCGGAAGGAAACATTAAGTTTACTATTATATCTGCCACTTATGTTCCAGAACCCTAGTCGTCGACAAGCAACTCAAGATGCGATCGCACAATAAGTTTTATTCTTATGACGCCCCTATCCGCGAAATCAGACAAAGTTGTATTTGCAATAAAAGACAAACACTGATAAGTTGCAAGGAACAGAATACGAATATAAGCGATTAACTAAGTGTCGAACGTCATGTTGTATTATTAACTGAAGCCTAGTTCAGGGCAATCGGTATTCAAAACTTCACGTTTTAATGTAGCTTAGCATATGTCGTTTTATGTACTCAGTTACTGACGAGGACACGCTTTATGTATCTCTAACAATTGAGGTTTTTTCATCTAAAACGAATAGTTGGTCGTTCAGTCTTTTCACTTAGTAAAATTATTAAAGATTACACAGGTAACCGTATTACGGATAAAAGTCTTATGCTTTTACTCAATTAGAGGTCGTTTATTATAAATAGAAGGTTTCAAGCAGGTTCCGAGTGATAAGGGGAATTTCGTCAACTTGCGCATATTTCATGACCTAAAGCAAACACTGTCATTGAACCAGCACAATCATTTCAGTCTTGAGACGTAGTTCAAATTTTCGACAAACACTTCGCGAGCTATGATACACGACAAAGCTCATTCCTTTACAAAGAAGTCCAACACTTGAGAATTGATATATCGTTGGCGATTTCGTGGCTTAAGTGGATTTTATCGGGCTGCCGAAGTTGAAGACATTTCAAAGGGCAGGCCAGAATGTCAAGCCAGCCGTAAAGCAGGTCGGTGGAAAAATTTTCGTGTCTATGTAACATCTACCTCCTGTAGGTGTTACAACATGTTGCGTATCTATTAAGCCGATTTATTGCTGCCTTTAATGACGGATTAGAGCGTTTAATCAGAATATCAGACTGAGTGAATATTTTGTTCACCAATAGAGTCTCCCGACGTCTGTCCATGACAGTCATCTGTACCACCCCAATCTAACATGCCTCATGACAGTTCGACCATCGGTTTCGATGATGTCCACCGTGTGCCCCACAGTTGCAGCAGCAATGGGAGCAGGGACGGTGACTTACGCAGGTGTTTATAGTGCCGGTAGACTTGCGTAGCATCTACCTACACTCTCTCCTCCTCCCTCGCCCGAGCCCGGTGTCAAGACAGTGTCAAGAAGACCGGAGACGAGAGAGGCCGCAGGTGAATGGCTCGGACGGATCCTCACCTTGGCGTTCCACCACACCCCCTGGTCCACACAACAATAACCAGGATTTGAACCAACACAACATAGATTTGGAGGCTGGCACGGCCGAAGCCGCACCTGGGCGTGCCGCCAACGCCTGGCTCGGATCCCACACTGTGGTGGGAATGCCATAAAGGCCACATTAAAAAGGAGCCATTGCAGCCTGACTCTCAGGCCGCCTCCAGTAATGGAGGAGGTCCAAGGTACCCCGTCAGTTGGCAACCTTCCAAGCCACGGCTTATAGCACATCGTGATAGCTTCAAGCGCGTCAGATTGTTTATAGTGAGGAAAATACGCTGAGTCGTCGACCTCACTCTCCTTTCCCATTCCCACACCCCAGCCACTGTCCGAGCCGGTCAGTAGACTGGAGTGGGGGATGGGCGCGGTGGCTGACATGGTCGACTGACCATGCCTGCGCGCGCCACAGCACGACCTGGCCCCCCATACACACAAACACCAGGATTTCACACAACGGCGGTTGAACGGCGTGTCTCTCACATGCGTGAGAGGGCCGTGGAAGGTGCTGCTTCAGCCCGTCCCCAGCCCACTAGTCCGCCACTACACAACACACACACACAACGTGACGAACTGCGTGAACCGAGAACGGGCGTCAATCAGCAACCTTCCTATCCACGACACTTGAAGTGTCGGGATAGTCTCGGACTCAAGTCACTCGTGCAGCCGAGGCCGCATGGGGACCGAGTCGAGATGCACACTTCCCACTTGCGTGGGAGGCGGCAGTTGAGTGCATGAGGTGTGTGAGGGTTGACGTCTAGTGGGGTGATGATGTTAGGAGGTAGGGCGTGAGGGAATGTGTGGTGTGACCGGCGGTTGTCTACCGCAGGTCGTTGTGGATGCGCATGTGGCCGAATAGACCCATGCGATGCGTGAAGGTGCGAGGGCAGTGTGGGCAGTGGAGGCGAGTGCGGTGGGTGTAGCTTGGTGCTCCAGGCACTGGTTCGCCAGTCTCTGTGCGATGGATTCGCAAGTGACCGACCAGGCCGATGCGTGAGGTGAAGGTGCGATCGCAGTGAGGGCAGATGTAGTCCGGGCCCTCACATCTGTTGATGGAGGTTGCAGGGGTTGTGCCTGTTGTTGTGTCAGGTGCGGCTGTGGTGAAGTCGTGCGCTACAGACGCCGGAGTGGCCGTCGTTGTGGCAGTGAAGGAGGAGGTGGAGGAGGAAGCGGGGGAGTGAGGGGTGGTAAGGTCGGTGGCGTCGATGTCGGCTGGGGAGTGGTTAGTGGGTGCACAAGGTGATGAATTGGGAGTGGGGCTCGGCGGGGTGGGTGTGTCAAGGCTGCGGTCAATTCCGCTCTCGTGGATGCGCATGTGGCCGAATAGGCCCATGCGATGCCGGAAGGTGCGAGGGCATTGTTGGCAGTGGAGGCGAGTGCGATCGGTGTAGGTTGGTGCTCCAGGCACTGGTTCACCAGTCTCTGTGCGAAGGATTCGCAAGTGACCGACCAGGCCGTTGTGTGAGGTGAAGGTGCGGTCGCAGTGAGGGCAGGTGGGGGTGGTTGCGGTTGCTGTGTCGTGGTTGGCGATGTGTGAGACGGCAGCCTGAACGGCCACCGCTGGGGCAGTGGAGGAGAAGGAGGAGGATGGAAGTGGTGGTGCAGAAGGAGTGTCAGAGTTAGTTGGCGGAAGAGAGGACGAGGAAGAGGCGGGCGCGGGGACGATGGCTGGAGCAGTTCGAGAGGTGCAGTTGGTTCGAAGTTGTCCAACAAGTCCGATTCGTGCCCGGAATGTCCGTTGACATCGAGGACACGTTGGGAGAGGTTGTGCGGCGGCGTTGCGTATTGGGCGAAGTTGTGATTTGCGGACTTCGCGTTTCAATTTGGCGGCGGCGATGCGGTTGGCTTCGTAGATAGCAGCGCCCGTCTTCACTGTTCTCCTCCATGTCGGACGATCGCGGGCGAGCTATTCCCAGTTGGTCGGGTTGATGTGCAGGCGCTTCAGGGAGGACTTCAGAGTATCTTTGTAACGGCGAATTTGGCCTCCTTGACGACGAGAACCCGTCGCGACGTCTCCGTAGAAGAGTCGTTTGGGTAGTCGCTCGTCGTCCATGCGCACCAGATGGCCGCTCCAGCGCAGCTGCATTTGTCTCAACATGATGTAGATGCTCAGAATTCCCGTCCGTTCCAGCACTTCGGTGTCGGGGATGCGGTCCTGCCAGTTCAGCCTCAGGATGCGGCGGAGACAAGTGAGGTGGAAGTGGTTTAGTCGACGTGCCTGCCTCGTGTACACCGTCCAGGTCTCCGCTCCGTACAGTAGCGTCGGCAGGATGACGGCCTTGTACATCTTCAGCTTTGTGCTCAGTTGGAGTCCGTGACGATTCCAAACTGTGCTTTGGAGGCGACCGAAGGCTTGACTGGCTTTCGATATCCTGTTGGCGACTTCGTCGTCGATCTTGGTGTTGCGGGAGAGCGTGCTGCCCAGGTACGGGAAGTTCTGTACCACTTGCAGTTGAGTCCCATTCACGCTGATTTGCGGCGGCGCGTTGGGGGCTGTGGCTGAGCTGGGAGGCGGCTGATGCATCACCACCGTCTTCTGCGTGTTGACAACCAGCTCAAAGTTCTCGCAGGCGGCGGAGAATAGGTCCATGCTCCGTTGCATCTCCACTTCTGAGGTGGTGTTCAGGGCGCAGTCGTCGGCGAAGAGGAGTTCGTGCACGGTGGCTGTGGATATACGCGATTGGAAGTTCATGCGCCGGCGATTCAGGAGATGACCGTCCGTTCTATAGGCGATGCGGATTCCAGGGCGTTCGTCGCGGTAGGCGACCATTAGCATGGCAGAGAACATAAGACTGAAGAGGGTAGGCGCCAGCACACAGCCCTGCTTCACTCCGTTGGTCACTGCGAATGCCTCTGAGACAGCTCCGTTGTCCGTGACTCGCGCCATCATACCGTCGTGCAGCTGACGCACCATCTGAGTGAATCGCTCCGGACAGCCGAATTTCTGCATGATCTTCCACAGTCCTTCACGATTCACCGTGTCGAAGGCTTTCGTCAGGTCCACGAAGGTAGAGTACAGGTGGGTTCGCATCTCCTGGCACTTCTCCTGGAGTTGGCGGGCTGCGAAGATCATATCCGTGGTCCCACGATGACGACGGAAGCCGCATTGGCTTTCAGGCAGAAGGCCCTGTTCCAGATGGTTGTTGAGGCGGTTGAGCAGGATGCGAGCGAAGATCTTCCCGGCGATGTTCAGTAGGGAGATGCCGCGGTGGTTGTCGCAGACTTGGCGATTCCCTTTGCGCTTGTATAGGTGCACGATAGTTGCGTCCTTGAAATCTTGCGGGACTTCACCTTGACGCCACATCTCCTGGAAGAGCGCAGTCGGGTGATCCATCAGTAGGGGACCTCCGTGCTTGTAGACCTCAGCAGGGATTGCGTCCGATCCGGGTGCTTTCCCGCTAGAGAGCTGCTGCACGGCCCTGATGGTTTCCTGGAGAGAGGGCGGGAGGTCGGGGTCCGCGTTGGTCGCCACTTGCGGCAAGCGGGCGATGGCGGCTTCGGAGATGACGGAAGGGCGGTTGAGGACGCCTCGGAAGTGCTCGGCCCATCGCTGCAGGATTTGAGTCTTCTCAGTCAGGTGAGTGCTGCCGTCGGCGCTGAGGAGAGGAGCAGTGCCCTTCGTCGGCGGACCGTAGACAGCTTTGATCGCGGAAAAGAAGTTCTTCCATTCGTTGCGGTCCGCGTAGCCTTGGATCTCCTCAGCTTTGCGAGTAGTCCAGGCGTCCTGCATCTCGCGCAGTCATTGCTGAAGCTGGCGGCGACTGCGGTAGAAGGCAGCTTTGTTGCCCTCAGTTGGGTGCTCTACGTAGGCTTTGTGTAGGCGGTTCTTCTCGGCAAGCAGATTTCTGATGGCAGCGTCGTTGTCGTCGAACCAGTCCTGGTGTTGGCGGGGAGCGCGACCGAGGACGGCGAGCGCCGTCGACTGGACTGTGTCACGCAGTTGACACCAGCGGTTCTCCACGGAGGCGGTCTCGGCAGCGGCGGTGGCGTCGTCGGCGGCGGCAGCGATAGGAAGGTTGTCTAGCCGTTGAGCTAGCTCATTGCTGAAATGGAGACGGTGAGCAGGCAAAGACAACAAAGCAACATTCAGCTTATCTGGGGGTCGCTTACCTTGTGGTCTCCTGCTAGGCTGTAGGCGAATACGCATCTTCGAGATGACGAGGCGATGGTCGGTCCACCCGTCAGCACCCGCGATCGCCTTCGTCACCAGCACGTCCCGCTGATCTCGCCTCCGGACGAGGACATAGTCCAGCAGGTGCCACTGACGCGACCGAGGATGCCTCCAGGTGGCCTTCTCTCGCACCGGCAGACAGAAGAAGGTATTCGTCAGGGTGAGGCGGTGTTCTGCGCAGGTGCGGAGGAGAAGCAGGCCGTTGTCGTTGGAGCCGCGGAGACCGTGGGGACCCAGCACTCCCCTCCAGGCAGTATGGTCTGTGCCGACGCGGGCGTTGAAGTCACCAAGGACAATCAACTTGTCCGCCTTCGACACAGTCGCCAAGAGGGCGTGCAGGTCCTCGTAGAATTTGTCTCTGACGGCGTCGGGGTTGGTCATCGTCGGAGCGTAGGCGCTGATGATGGTGACGAATTTGCCTCCCCAGAGAGGCAGGCGGAGGCTCATCAGGCGATCGTTGATGCCCTGCGGCAAACAGGGCAGTCGTCTCACGATGTCGGTCCGGATGGCGAAGGCGACGCCCGCGTCTCGTCGCTCTGCCCTGGGTCGGCCACTCCAGAAGAAGGTATAACCGGCACCCACCTCCTCCAGTTGGCCTTGTTCGGAGAATCGGGTCTCGCTGAGTGCGGCGATGTCCACCTTGTAGCGCGCCAGTTCTCGTGCCACTAGCGCCGTCCTCCGTTCCGGTCGGTTGCTCCTCGGATTGTCTAAAAGGGAACGAACATTCCAGGCTGCCAGAGTGAGCGGGCTCACCCTGTCAGTCTGGGGAAAACGAGTGGGGCGATGGGAAGGAGGTGGAGAAGAAGATGACGAAGGAGAAGAATAGGCAGAAGAATAGACGGAGGTAGAGATAGAAGAGGTAGGATGAGGAGAATGCGTATGGTTGTTGTTGTTGTTTCGAGTTTGATTGTTTCGACTGTGAGTTTTGCGTCTGCGACCACGGTGCGCCAGCAGACGACGTGGTTCCCCAGCAATTTTTAGACCAGCTTTTCCAGGCCCCCACGAATGAAGCAGTGCCCTGACCCCTGAATAGGGGCTGCTTGATGTGCCGGCGCGGCCGAACTCCACTGTGGGCCACGAGTTTTTTTGGCAGTGGAAGAACGACTCGAATTTGCCGATGGCTTACGGCATTGCCGCAAGCCTGCGGTCTCCTACGGTGCACCAGATGGGCGCGTGTCGACGGTGCCAGTTCGGAGATCCATCCCACCGGCTGATCAACGGCGTACCAGGCGGAGCCTCGTCTAGACGATGTCGATGCGACGTCCCACCACCAACCGGCTGACCAGCGGTGTGTCAGACAGGGCCTCGTCACGACGGCGCCGACGCGGTGTTCCATCCGACCAACCGTCCACGGAGTCCGCAGTCAACTGTGCACGCGGCACAACGCGCACAGGGAGTAACCGCCCTCACCTGGTTTAGCCCGCCGGTCGAGACGGTTGCCCGGGGTGTGGCCGCTGAGCAGAGCCCAGCTACGTGGAGCCACAGGTGAGAGTTGAGTGCCAGCAAGTGGACGGTAGGCGTAGTCTCACCTGCAAGCAAGTGAGCGACCACTACGACCTTCACGTGAACCCACCGCTGACACCCCTACACCCCAGAAGGCTTTGGTACAGCGTTTAAAGACCCAGAGGCCGGCTGTCAAAGGTCAACCATCCACGATGCAGGGAGGCAGGCGATCTAGGTAGCGTAATATGGTTGAATCCGTCTCGCCTCTATGAGATGCCAATCATTTGACCGAGCCGTGCGATCAAGTAAGTCAAATAATACTACAGGGTAGTCTTTGTCTGTTCCTTAACCAAACTTTCAAATTAAGAAGGGCATTACGGTAAGGAAACCTGTTGGAATACCCTCGTTTACGATACATGAAGTTTTGCAGCTTGTCAGACTTAGTATCAGTATCAGTTTAGTAAGGAGCAAAAACAACTCGCAGATAGGAAACTTTCTTGTCTTAAAATGCTCAGAGCTATTGTAATAGCTGGAGGCTTCTGGGACTCGGTACGCCGGGCTGAGTCGAGCTTCTCCAAAATTTCCTTAAAATGGAGGTCAATAGGGTTGTAGTCTGTGCTGCCTTCGAAGGGATATTAGGGATTACTCTCGCAGAACATATTTCCATAAGACCGGACAGAATCAGGCATGACGCAAGATAAGAGTGAGCGTTGAGAGGCATAGTATCCTAATCCTAGTCAGTATCAGTATCAGTGTATTTCAGGAAAAGTATATGTATACCTTTGAAATCCTATTGGGTACAATCAGAGGAAGTATATGGAGGAAACGGAAAGGAAGTAACATGAAAGAAATGCAAGGGAAATAACAGAAACTGTACAGATGAACACAGAATGTCATGCGTTAACAGAATTGAGAGGCACATGAACACGGTTTGTTGATTGAATGCAGCAGAAAGTTGAAGCACACCTAAGATACAGGAAATGAAGTCTGCAGATATCGTGGTGAATGCGAGCAGCGATGTGCGACGTGGTCCAAAATTGATAAAGTACATTAACATATGTTACTTGAATGTTGGTAGTAGCATTGTCATAACACTAAATTGTCAACATTGGCTATTAAGGTAGCCGTAATCCGGCGTTATTGTGGTGCGCGCTCCAATGTTGATCTAGCCTCCGTTTAAAGTATTTACGGATCCCGACATAACAACATCGTCGGGCAAGACATTCCAAGCTACAACCACTCTGTTGGAGAAGACCTTTCATGTGTCTAGCCGGACACCAGTCACAGGCAGTGTGAGTGGATGGCCTCTCAGGTTAGTCGTAGTCGCCAACTCGAAGAAGTCTCCAGATGTGAGGCAGCAGCCCTGATTACGCACAATGCGGAACGCTTGTATCAGCTCCCCACGTCGCTGTCTGTAACTCAAAGGAAAGATACAAATTTCGTTGCTCACCGTTGAACGTTTTCGAGTATGTCGAAGTCTTAAGCGGTCCAGGATCTCCATGTTTGGATAGCGAACTCCGGATGCGGTCGCACGAAAGTTTGAAATACCTTGGCGAAGCAGTATTCATCAAAGGAAGAGAACGCTCGTTTGACGAGGTATAGAATGGACATCGCCGACATGGCCAACTTTGAGCATTGCAGCCAAGGCTTAAACGAGGTTGTGATCCATACACCCACGTCATTCTGGGCGTCGACTTCCTGCAGTGATTTACCAGTCAGACGGTAGACTGTGTGGTTAGGAGAACTGCTTCTTCCGACGCGTTGGAAATTACACTTGTTAACGTTGAACGGTAGAAGCCAGTCTTTTGACCATTGCTCGAGGTGGGGCAGATTTGTCTGCAGTCGCGCCTCGTAAACTTCGCTTCAGATGGCACTCCAGATCTTTATGTCATCGGCAAACATGCGCGCTATATCGAATTATGCCCGGTTTTTCAAAACCGCATCGTCTAGTTTTCAATAAAGTGTTCCATTATACGATAATTATCATTCTCAAAATCCAATTTTTGTGTCTTCTATATTTTTCGCCCACACGAAATAGCATCTCACAGCATGGAACCCACCAGGATATGTGTTAACCCTACAGATTATCTTACATTTATCCTGTCTTCCCGTTTTATCAGTATTAATGAAGGTAGCCTGTATCTGAGAAGTACGCTCGGCGCAGTTTCTTTCGAGATCAGTCAGGCAAAAGATGGCCCAGCAAGGAACTGTAGTCTTTAGGTTTGCCAAAGTTTTTTGCGCAATACAGAATCTTTGGTTCAATCACTTTTTTCCAATTCGGCGTCCGTAACAAAAAATCTCAATCAACAGGATCGCGTTGAAAACTGCGACTGTGGTTGTCTTTATCATGTTAGAAACTCACTTTCATTTTCGCCACATGAACTAAACATCCTCTTCTTCTTCTTCTTCTTCTTCTTCTTCTCTGAATATACTGTTTCTTAGGCATAATCCACCCGCAAAATAGGTAAATACTGACTGGTTATGAATAAGTGCCCATTATTACGTCCTCAATGAAAGCCATCTCTGTGAACTCTGAAAACTCACAGGTAATCCAACTGATCTCATAAAATCGTAGGTGATTTCAACTAACCAGAAACTGAAAGGTATGCAGATACTTCTCCACCTAACCTCCAAACGTTTGTGACTACTATTCATTTTCTAATTTTTCTCAACTAGTCCACGCACTGACCAACAAAGATAACTTGTAAGTGTAAGATTTTGTTAATAGTGCCTACCCCTTATTTAGGAGTTTCATCGTGATCTTTTTAAGGGTGATCAGGCATTATTTTATCGTTGTCTTCCAGTTTCCTCTTTAACAATGTCGCCGGTAAGACGCAGCTATGTAGATTTTTCATCTGTGTACGGCAACTTAGTAACTACCTTCACAAGCAATCTAGATTGGCACAATATTCCTAAAAATTATGATGCAAAACTCTTCCACGATTTGCTGCAATGTTTAATCACAGGTCCTTTTGATTCCATTCTATTAAAGATGTTCCAAACAAATGCTGCATTGAACATTGTCTCACACTTTCTAAAAACAGTCTTAAAAGTTATGGAATCACCTTGAAGATTCACCCATAGGCCCATTATCGGTTCAAGTGAAAATCACAGAAATATTTAAATTTAATTCAAAAATAAGGCATGTGCGGGATAGGCGTAGAAAATATTAATCTGTTCGCTATGCAAATCCTTCCATATCTGTTGCTCAGGTCATCCGTCTCGGATTGTCTGCTAAGCCCCATCAAACAACCACCTTTGCTTAACTGCGACAATACGTCCATTCTTTGCCAACCACTCTACCTTTGAAACTAAACGCATCCGTCGTCATCTGACGCCTTTTCCGCTACCACTACCATTGCTCCTGCAAGTATTCGAAAACCGATAACCCAACTTTTTGACTCACATTCAGTTGGAACTTACAACACTCCGAACTCTTATATTTGTCAGGTGAATGATTTTCCTTGTCCGCTGAGCCACTGTTGCTCAATCTATCTCGAGGATTGTTTAAAACTTCTTTTGTTATTTCAGTATTTACATTTGGGTCCCGTTTTGGTTATCTAAAGTATCGAACTGTCTAAAAAACGCCCTCTCTAGCTAAACTGGCCAAAAAGACCAGTGCCATCAAATGTACTAATGTTTACATACCTAATCAAGTAAATAGCTCTTCCCAACATGGATTTTGTTTGATCGCTTTTGTGCAAAGTGGCATATAACTTTTCTGAATCTGCCCACCTTTCCTCGCAAACACCATCCATTTGTGGTTGTCACTTATTGATAAAATACTAATGCAAGACTCTTAGTCACACTAGAGGCTTTAGGAATTCGAAGTTCCCTTATCGACTATATCATGTCCTAACTTTCGAATTTGAAACAAATGTTTTAGTGGGTTTCACATTTTTTAATGAGGGCTCTACTGTTAGCGGTATCCTGTGAGGTCCACGTTAGCTCCTCTCTTGTCTTTTCTTCACATTGATGCCATTTAGTCGTCAGTTGACTATTGCAAATCTGTATACTCTTTCTCTAAATCAACGAAAGACATTGACTAAAAGAAATTGATTCTATCGTGCCTGCATTTTCCTCATGCAGCTCATCGTGACGGATAGATTTCTCCCCATCTGAATGTCGTTAAATGTGATTTGGACCTGACAGGCTACCCCAGCCGTGGATTCTCCAAAGCGTCCCTGAGACAGCATGTTCCAAATTCAAGGAGTACGGTATAAACTGCGTCAATAATTTGACCACTCGCAGCAAACCAATAGATTTGCGGCCAAAGCTGCTCTGATATGGGATTTTATTTCTTATAATTTCCACCTCCTTACCATAAAATTAAGACAAAATCACATCTTTGTCATTTTTACTAGAATGTTACTGTTTGTTATACAATTTCATAAGAAATGTCAATCGTTCTGAAATTAAAAATGACAAAAGCATTTTACTGGAATACCCCTAAGTACGACACATTCAAGTACATCCTACGCAGTTATTGACCGATGTCATGAAATGTGGGCTGAAATTCTGAATGCGATTTCAATTAGGAAGGATTACTTTGGCGCGGTTATAATATTGATTATCATGCGGAACAATCCTATAATTTCAGCTTTTGGATACACTGTTTTTTAATTTCGTGTAGAAACCGGATACGGTAAAGATGACTACTTAAGTAGCATGCATTCCTCCCCTTGATTTTTGACGGTCTTGCAAATTCAGATATATTTTGTAGAAA